TATTTATTTATTATTAGGGATTAAACCCAAAGGCTACATTCCACTGAGCTACATTCCCAGCCCTTTTTATTTTGGGACAAGGTCTCACTAAGTTGCTGAGCCTGATCTCAAACTTGTGATCCTCCTGACTCAGTCTCCTCAGTTGCTGGGATTACACGCATGCACCACCATACTCCACTTCACTGGTGACTTCTACACAATAAGTGATTTGAAGAATAATACAAATCACTAATCTGTTCAGACAATTTGAAAGGCCTCAAAATCAAGGTCTTTCTGACCTTCTTCTATCCTCTATTCCACCCTTCCCTCATATCTTGATCCTTTTTCCCAAACGAGTTCTGGGGGTTGGGAGTGGGGGGGGGGGTATGTGATGATGGTGGCAGGGGCTGTTCCTCTAAAGTTTCCTTATTTGACCAAGGGAAGTTCCTTCAGAAGGAATGCAATTGTCTTGAGCCTCTTCCTTATATTCTCATCCAACAGGGAAGATTAATTCACAGGAAAGAGGATAAAGGTGGACACTACTTAACTCTTCTGAGGACTGATACTTAGGAGTCAACCTCATAAAGGCACCTATGAAAAAGCCAGAGCTAACATATTCAGTGGTGAAAGACTAAATGCCCTTTCCCCGAGATAAAATGTTCACTCCAGCCACTTCTATTGAAATTGCAATGTAATTTCAGTACAATACATTTTAATTTTTTAATTACAATATAAAATACTACTAAAAAAATTCAAGATCTAAATAAATGTGTCTTCATGAAACAAAAAACAAAACAAAACAAAAAAAACAACCCTAAATACAAAGATAGACTCTATAATTCTATCTACTCAGGAGACTGAGGCACAATTAGATTGAAAACCAGCCTGGGCAACCTAGACCCTGTCTCAAAATAAACTAAAGGTTTGGTGATGTAGGTTAGAGGTAGGGCACTTATTTAGCATGTGTGAGGCCTGTTATTTAATCCAGGAAGATGGAAGGGGAAGGGGGGGGAGAGGAGGAAGAGGAGAAGAAGAAAAAAGACAACAGATAACAAGTTAACAAGTACTGGTAAGGAAACATAGGAGAAAAGGAACCCCTGTGCACTGTTGGTGGGAATGTAAATTAGTACAGTCATTACGAAAAAATGTAAGGTGGTACTCAAAAAATTAAAATAAAACCTTCATATGATCCAGCAATCCTGCTTCTGGGTATATATCCAAAAGAAATGAAATTATATATAGGAGAGATGTCTGCACTCTTGTGTATGCTTGCAGCACTAGTCACAAGAGCCAAGTATGGCAACAACATAAGTGTCCATCAACACATGAATAAAGAAAATATGGAATATATACTCAATGGAATACTATTTAGCCATAAAAAGAATGAAATCTTGACAACACTTATGGAACTGAGGTCTTAAGTGAAATAACCAAAGCACAGAAAGATAAGCACAGCATCTTTTCTCTCATATATGGAAGCTAAAAAAAAAAAGTTGACCTGAATGTAGAAATAGTGATAACTAGAAGTTAGGAAGGGTGTCTGGGGGGAAGGTAGAAAAAAGGGAGGCTAGATTTGGTCATTACATGCTACATGTATGTGCTGAAATGTTACATTGAACATCATTAATATGTAACAATACATGTTAATAAAAAATGAACATTCTATTTCCAGATATCAGAGACTCAATTTTGTCTTGACAGCAATTCTTGCAAATTGATCTATAAATTCAATGCAACTGCTGTATAAATCCAAGCAGATTCTTTTAAAAGCAGAAATTGCAAACTGGGTGTATAGAACTCAGGGGCTGAGGACATGCCTAGCATGGTCTTGGGTTTGAATTTCTTGGCTAAATAGTATTCCAACCTGTAAGGAAAAGAAAGGATGGAAGGAAAGAAGCAAGGAAGGAAGGGGAAAGAAGAAAGAAAGAAACTGACAGGCTGATCCTAAAATTTATTTTTTAATGGAAAAAAATGTAAAAGGATGGGCAAAACAATTTGGGAAAGAAACATAGTTGGAGGACTTACACTGACACATTAAAACTTAACATAGGGGCTGGGATTGTGGCTCAGTGGTAGAGCGCTCGCCTAGTGCGGGCAGAACCCGGGTTCGATCTTCAGCACCACATAAAAAGAAAGGCATTGTGTTATATCCATCTACACCTAAAAAATAAATATTAAAAAAAAAAAACTTAACATAGTCACAGTAGTCAAGATAGTATGATATTGACTCAAGGATAGGCTTATAGATGGAAGGAACAAAACTGAGAGTCCAGAAATAAACTCTTACATTTATGGCCAATTGATTTTCACTGTAAGCATCAAGATGATTCAATGGTATAAGGATAGTCTACCCAACAAATTGTGCTAAGACAACTGCAAAAAAAATTTTAGATTCTTACGCCATACTATACATAAAATATTAACTCAAAACAGTTTATAGAAGCCAGGTGTGGTGATACATGCCTATAATCCCTGCTACTCAGGAGGCTAAAGCAATGTAAATTCCAGATTAGCCTGGGCATTAAGGGAGACCCTGTCTCAAAATAAAATAAAAAAGGGCTGGGGATGTAACTCAGTGGTAGAGTAATTGATTCAGTAATAAGATAAATAATCCAATTACACAGAGTGCTTATCTAGCATGCACAAGTCCTTGGATTCAATTCCCAGCATCAAAAAAAAAAAAAAAAAAAAAAAAAAAATAAAATAATTTTCCACACAAAAAAAAAAAAAAAAAAAAAAGAAAGAAAATCAGATAATTCTTCACACGCTAGAATGGTAAAGATAAAACAATAACAAATATCCCTTTATAGAAAGGGAAGTCCTCATATATTCATGGAAGAGCTGTAAAAGGATAAAACCATTTTGGAAAATGATTTGACAGTTCCCCCCAAAATTAAATACACCAAGGCCAATAACCATATGACCCAGCAATTGCATTCCTAGGGAGAAATGTTTGTCCACACAAAAAATTGAGCACAGCCAGGTGAAGTGGCACATACTTATAACCCCAGTTTACTCAGAAGGCTGAGGCAGCAGGATCACAAGTTCAAGGCCAGCCTTGGCAACTTGGTGGGACTCTCTCTCAAAAAATAAAAGGGCTGGCAATGTAGTTCAGGGGTAAAGTAAATTGAACTCCTGAGTTCAATTCCCAGGACCTTGAAAACAAACAAAATAACAACAACAACAATAAACCACTTAAGCACAAATGTTCATAGCAGCATTATTCATAAAAGTTCCAAACTGGAAACAATCCACATGTAAACAACTAATGAATGGATAAATAAAATATGGTATATGTATTTATACAGTGAAATTCTATTTAGTAATAAAAAGAAATAAGGTACTAATACATACTGCAACTTGGCTAAACCTCAAAAACATGCTAAAAGAAGTCAAATTCAAAAGATAACATATTGTATGATTCTGTTTATATGAAATGTCCAGGAAAGATAAATTTAAAGAGACAGAAAACAGATCAATGGTTATCTAGGTCAGGAGGTGGGAGTGAGGATTTAATGTGAAGGAACACAAAGAAACTAATGGGGTGATGGATATGTTCTAAAATTGGACTGTTTTTATGGCTATACAACTCTACACTTTCAGTAAAAATTACTGAGTGGTATATTTATTATGGTGTACAAATTATAACTTAATGAGGGTGCTATAAGAAAATGAAAGCCAGTGGCTGGGGCTGCAGCTCAGTGGCATTGTGCTTGTCTGAACGTGTGAGGCCCTGGGTTTGATCCTTAACACTGCATAAAAATAAACAAATAAAATAAAGGCATTATGTCCATCTACAACTACAAAAAATATTAAAATAAAAAGAGAGAGAGAAAGAAGAAAAGCCAGAACTTAGTGTTACGTGTCTCTGTAACTTTGATGCTCAGTCTTGGGGAACAGTCAGTGAACATCTGTGAAATTAATGAAAGGAAAACTGGGGGGGGAGGAGGCAACTTTGTTACAAACATATTTAAAAGTATGAGAGGCTCAGAAACAGTATACATATTAATTTAGGAGTCAGGCTAGACTAATTGTTAGACTGGAAAAGTATACACTCAAATTAAAAAATACCTTCCTTGGATATGATTAAAATTCATAAAATTGGATTTTTCAGTTCACAAACATATTAGACTTTCCAAGAGTAGTCTGCTCCGTGAGTAAACAAACCAGTAAAGAAAAAATGATTTCCCTGAAGATACCTGATAGGATTAGCACAGAAGCCCAGATACAGTTCCTCTCTGGAAAGTACTGTGCAGGGAGTCACACAACCAGGTCAGGCTAGCTCTTCTATCCTCTTCTTTCTCTCATCTTACCCAGTCAAGCAAGCTGGGAAGCCTAGAAGTGACCCCTGAAGTGGCCTTGGGTACACAACTTTGCTTTTGGAGTGTGAAATACAAAGAAGCTGGAGCTTAAAAGTACACCTGGGTCAGTTTCTCAGGCTCCTATCCCTCATGTAACAATAAGGTCCCAGCGACAGAAGCCACATACCTTAGAAACAGGGGTAAACCAGGGCTCAGATAGCAGGAGGCACGTGCTTGTCTGAACGTGTGAGGCCCTGGGTTAGGGAAGGTTAAACCTTCTACGTGTCTCAGAAGTATAGGGCTTGAGAGAAAAAGGGAGGCAGGAGACATTACAAGTGTGGAATGCCGGAGACTGGGACGATGAGAAATGGTACTTGGGCCGGCCACGAATTTGGCAAGGAAGGTTCTGTGGGTCTCTGAGAGGACAGTTCTCGAGTTTGGGGAAAGGTGCGCTCTGGTACATGGAGGATAGGAGCCTGAGGAATGAGGGAGGAAGACCCGGGGCCTGAGCGTGAGGGGTCCTGGACCTTCGTGCAATGGGGTCCTGCTGCGGACACGAGTCCTGGAGCGCTCCAGCGCAACACGCCAGGAGGCGGGCCGGGCGCCAGTGGGTGTGACAAGAACCCCAGAGCCGGTCCGAGGTCCCGCCCGCCGCTTACGCCACTCCTTGAGGGCCGAGCAGGGGTGAGGGGCTTCCAGTCCGTGAGACCTGGGACTCACCTTCCTCCCTCCCCACCGGCTGGGTGCCGGACACTGCTTCCCACAGGCGGCGCGCCCTCTCGTGGTCGAATCGCACCCCCTCTGGTTCCCGGCCCTCCCGCTCCTCCGAGTTCGTGCATGGCCCGGCCCCTCCGCTATCCGCAGTCTCCACTGTACCCAACATCGGACTCTCCATCTTTCCTGCAAGCCCTCGCCGGTCGAGAGCGGCTCCTGCACCTCGGTATCGCGAGACGTGGGTGGGCGTGGATTGGGCCCGGCTGACAAATCTCGCGAGGCTTAGACGCCGCAGACCGCGAGGAGGTGCAGGACCTGGAGCACGTTTCCTTTTGCAGTCTTTGGGAGTTTGGGGTGTTTGCGGTAGTTTCGCAAACTGATTGCGGTTTCCACAGCAAGGTTCCCCCCGTGAGATGGGCTCATGCAGTTCTTGGCTTAGGGTCCTCACCTTGCACACTATCACCAGTTGACACTTCTCAATTCGTCTTGTTATGGAAACTAAGATCCAGACCCTAAAGAATTTGTTACTAGTAAGTAAGTGGTAGTGTTAGATTTCATCATTATGTTTCGATTACTGCTAATAATATTACCTTTTGTTGAATTCTAAGTGGAAACCCCTAGTTCAGACCTTCCTTTAAATTCTGGACCTATGTCTTGGTAGGCTTTTCCAAAGGTAACTGTCAAACCCCAAGTTTTATCTTCCAATTTCTGACCTGCTTCTTCCCGAGTCTTTCCGAGCCACCATCTCTTACTTAGGTTATTTATTATAGTTGTATCCTTGCTAGTTCCTGGTCTTGCCCCTTGGGTGTTCCCAGCATAGCAGCCCCAGGGACACTCCTACAAGTCTGATCATGACATTCTCATACTCAAATCCTGCAGTGGCTTTCCATCTTAGTAAAATCCAAAGTCCTTATTTTAACCAACAAGCCTTATGCAGTCTGACTTCCCTTAACTTCTCTGACCTTAGCTATTATTGTATTATTCAATCCTCAAATCTGTAATTCCCCTCCCAGTTACAGTGACCTTTTGGAATGTACTTTTCCCATGTATTCTCATGGTTCTGTCTCTTACTTCCTTTTCTGACCCCTCCACACACTCCATGTTCTTCTTTCCTCCCCTTTATTCCTCTTCAACATTTATCAGACATGTTATATGTTTTGCTTTTTATCTTGTTTATTTTTTACCTCCCCACTCCCTGGAAAACAGGGATTTTGTCTATTTTGTTCACAGCTGAATCCCCAGCACCTTGAAATAGAACCTGAACTCTCCTAGGTACATACAAAATATTTCTTGAATGAATGAAACTAATATAATTACCTCATTTTAATTACCTCATTTATTCAAATACTTATTGAGAATTTATTATGAATAATGATATGTTTGGGGCATTGGAATACTGTGATGAACAAGACAGAAGCTCTAATAGTTTTTTTTTTTAATTATTGTAGTGCAGGAAAGAATAATAAAATTAATAAGTGCTAAGGACAACATAAAACAAGAAAATATATTGGATAAATGATGAGAGAGGAATGGTACTTAGGATATTCATGGAAAAACAGTTGAGCTAAGACTTGATTTGAAGAAAGGGATGGTCATGTGAAGAACTAGGAAAGAGTGTTTCAGGAAGCCACTCAGACAGGAGTGAGCTTAATGTGTTGGAGGAACAGCAAAAAAGACAATATGGTTGGAACCTAATGAACCAAGGTGGAAATGGTAGCAAAGGAGGCCATAGAGGACAGAGATTAATCTTGCCTGAAATCACCCAAATCATCAGTTGTACTTTACCCATTTTTTTTTTTTTGGTACTGGGGATTGAACTGGGGGGTGGGGGCACTCGGGCCCTTGACCACTGAGCCACAGACGAGGTCTCACTGAGTTGCTTAGTGCCTCAAGGTTGCTGAGGCTGGCTTTGAACTTTGGATTCTCCTGCTTCATCCTCCCGAGAGCCGCTGGGATTACAGGCATGCACCCATGCACCTGGCCCATTTTTTTAAAAAGAATATTTTTAGTTGCAGATTTTCACAATACCTTTATTTTGTTTATTAATGTGGTACTGGGGACCGAACCCAGTGTTTCACACGTGCTACGTAAGCACTCTACCACTGTGCCACAACCCCAGCCCTGTACTTTACCCATTTTCACTACAAGTCTTTACTTATTTATAATTCCCTCTTTTAAAAATATTTTTTTTAAATTATGGGTGGACACAATGCCTTTCTTTTTCTTTTCCTTTTTTTATGCGGTACTGAGTCTCGAACCCAGTGCCTCACCCACCTAGGCAAGCACTCTACCACTGAGCCACAACCCCAGCCCCTTATAATTCCCTCTTAATCTGTAGGGGACATATTCCAAAACGTTCCATGAATGTAGGAAAATGCAGATCATACTGAATTCTGTATATACTGTTTTTCCTCTATGTACCTATGATAAAATTTAATTTATAAATTAGACATAGTAAGAGATTAATAACAATAAATAATAACAGAATAGAATAATTACAATTATATACTGTAATGAAAGTTATTTAAAACTTATGAATTATTTATTTTTGAAATTTTCCATTTAATATTTTCTGACCATAGTTGATCCTGGGCAACTGAAATCATGAAAAGTGAAACCACAGATAAAGGGGAACTACTATACTAACAATATTGAGTACCAGCTCTATGTCAGGCCTTAGGCTCCAAACTTTCCAATACAATAGATGACTGATGTTTGGTGCAGTGCTTTACAGTTTACAGAGGACCTTTACCATATATCATAATTTTTAAGCTTCAGGGAATTTCTCCTATAAGGGCTTTTTTCATATTTGACAATAAAAAAACAGACTGTGAGAGGTGAAGGTTTTGTCAGGGTCAAATACCTAGATAATTACAGAGCTCTTGCTTGGATACTAGTCCTCTGAGTGCAAACCCATGTCCTTTTGCTAACACCAGATACCTGGCCTAAAAGCCAGTGGTTATACTTATTTATCTTGTATTCTGTTGTTTATCTTAAGAGTTCTAGTTATCCATATTTGAATAGCAAGAGTTATTCAGCTGGATATCCAAGGGACAAAGGATATTTTTTACAAAGTCCCAGAACTCACATGGATACTTTTGAACAATATGAAGCTAATCCTGGGAGGGAAATATTTATAAAAAAGGAGACTCATTTCCCAGCACATACTGCTGTTTTGTTTTTTGCCATTGGAGTTGAATGATCACAGAGAAAGGACTTTACCAAGGGATAAGAACTGAGTATAGTTCATACATTTCAGTTGTATAAACTGTGTGTGTGTGTGTGTGTGTGTGTGTGTGTGTGTGTGGCACAAACCTACACTACTGCATTTAGTTAAAATATAGTTTCTGCTTTCAGGGAAACTATCCTCTAGTTTGTCTAACTGTAATATATCTATCTAGGCATTGTAGTTTTATAAACTATATAATATCAGGGCTGGGGTTTTAGCTCAGTGGTAGAGCGCTTGCCTAGCATGTGTGAGGCACTGATTTTGATCCTCAGCACCACATAAAGAAAAATAAACAAAATAGGGCTGGGGATGTGGCTCAAGTGTGGCCCGGTTTCGATCCTCAGCACCACATACAAAGATGTTGTGTCCGCTGAAAGCTAAAAAATAAATATTAAAATTCTCTCTCAGAAAAAAGAAAAATAAACAAAATAAAGGTATTATGTCCATCTACAACTAAAAAAATAAAACACATAAAAATGTATCAGGGGGTACATGTTAACTGCCATAATAGAGTTAACAATGAAAGCTAGAGTGGATGGGGACAGAAAATGAATCCATAATGTGGGGATCATGATGATAACCCCACATCATGATAAATCCTAGTGTGTTTTGTACTTCTTAATTGGAGGTACATCTGTAACTGTTAGAGGTGATTGCAGATCTGGTATGTTGTTTTCTAGTTGTTTTTTGCTTTTGGCTTTTGTATTTGTTTTGGTGGTACTAGGGATTGAACTCAGGGGCACTCTAGCACTGAACTACATCCCCAGCCTTTTTTATTTTTTATTTTGGGACAGAGTCTCATTGAGTTTCCCAGGCTGGTCTTGAACTTGAGATTGCAGCCAGTATTACAGGCATGCCTCACCATGCCTAGCTGCAGATTAGTTTTTACTAATGGAATGTGAAATATTGTTTGAATCTCAACCTGAGATTGATCCAAAACAGCAAGAGTGCCCTTGAGGAAAACTGGAAAAACCACACTCAGTTGGGATTGGTGTGCACATTTTTGCTACAATCCTTGTTCACTTTTCCGGCTGGACAATTTTGTAGTGCTTTCTGGGCTGCAAGAAAGCAGTATCATCAGGAGATGCTAGTTTTAATTCAGAGACTTTTCAAGGACAGATTTGAGGGTATAGGAAAGTTGCTGGTCATAGACGGATTTCCAGAGAATTTTGAGAAGGCAAGGAAAGAGAAGGATAAGGTTATATTCAATAATGTAACCCAGCTTTTCCACCTTACATCCCACTTAGAAAATGAACATAATCTTTATGGTACATTAGTATAAACAGGCTGTTTCTCACTACTGCAGTGATGGGCCAGGGATTCCAGCTACCTACCTACCTACCCTTTTAGCTGGAGGGATGGATGCTCAGAGTCATGCAGGAAAGAGAGTCCAGGTACAGTGGGTGGCCATGGTATCTTGAACTCTAATGGTATCTGAGGTAAGCAGGAGGGGATTAACTCCACTAATCACTGAAAAATGAGCAGGCTGTCAGTTAAAGCTGTAAGTACTCAGCTGGACATCAACTGTTTCATTCTGCGCTCATAATCTGTTTCCTTAGGGATGTTACTAAACGTTTGAGAACTTGTTTCTTCATCTGTAAAAGGGGGAAATAGTACCTACTTCAGATAGTTGTGGTGAAGATTAACCAATATAATTTCCTTAAATTAGTGCATTGCATGGCACTTAGTAAATAGTAGCTGTTGCAAGTTTATTCTGAAAGCTCTTTGGTACAGCTCAGTGGTAGAGTACCCCTGGGTTCAGTTCCCATAACACACACACACACACACACACACAAACACACACACACATCTTGGCAATTATATTCCATATAAATTTTAGAATCAGCTTAGGCAAGGACAGGAGATTATTCATATTTTAGTTCCTACCACTTGGCATAGTGCCTGACAGAGAAAATTCAATAGGTATTTCTTGAGTAAATGAATGAAGGAACTAGGGGGAATATAACCACTGAAATA